ATTATTATTATTATTATTGTTACTGTTGTTGTTAGCATCATTATCATAATGTACCAGCTCAGCTTGTTTTGGTTTTGTTCCACTCAGCCGTTTATGTCTCTGAGTTGTAATTTTTTATGTGGCAATTTGTTCTCTTTGATCCATACCAGTCATTTGAGGGGTGGAGAAAAAAAGTGGAGATGGAACTTTGCAAATTTTAATCCTCTGTTTATTTGTACGTGTACATTTAAGAGCAGTGTGGAAGTAGTGATAGAGGAGATTGATTTCTTGCTAAGTAGTGGTTATGGCATTAGTGATGGTAATGGTAGTAGTAGTGAGGGATAAATAACTTTTTTTGTTGTTTTTGTTTGTTGTTTTTTTGTGCAATGCTACCACTGTTGTTGTTAACGACGAAAATGTCAGTGCTGATCTCTCATCATTTGAAGGAATAGTGACGTTTTATGTGTTGTTATGGCATTAATCATAGACAAGTCGAAAGTTTAAATTCAGGATTTGTATTGGGCAGTTGAAAATTTAATTTTTTTCAATGTTAACAACGCTATTCTTAAATGAGTTTCGTTCGGCTGTTAGTCTTGTTACCTGCCGACAGTTCTGCTTAAGACTTATCAACGGTTTTTGTTACTATCTTGTTCGTATCGGTTTCGTTGGTTTGCTTCCTCGTCATTTTTGAATTTGTTTGCGAGTGTCTTTTGAAGTAGTTTAGAAATGGGAAAGCTAGGAAGTAAAGAAGTATTGACTTTTTGAACCTAAAGAATGCTAATTTTGTCGGGAGTACTTCGATGATTAAATTGGGTTGACATTCAATCAATTTTTTTGTTCTGATCGACATTTTTTACAGGGGAGGGATGCTGCAGAAGTACTCTTGGTTCAAGTAGTAGTCAAGCTGCATGATTTCATTAATTTAACAAATTTTTTAAAAGGAAAAAAGGTTTCTCTGTTTATCCTGTAAACTTTCTTTGATTTGGTGGTTTTTTTTCTTCACGGTTTTGTGCAGGGGAGTGGCCTCATATTTTCACATATTATGCCTAGTGTACGATTGCCTATTTTTTTTCAGAAATTTAGCAGTAGAATTCTTTCCCTGTACGGTCTTATTGAAATTAATCAGTTCATTATGTATTAGATAGATGTTTGTTGGTTGATAGTGTGTGATACTTTGGTTCTTATGTGTTTTGACCTGCAGGTTGTCCACATTTATTGCTTTTCGCTGCAGATGGTTTGGTTTATTCGAGGGGAAAGAGTAGGGAGGTGGTTGTCTGTTTTATAAGCACCTTATAATTATTTGTTGCGGTAGGGGAGGAGTTAATGGGGAAAGTACACTTGGTGTGAAACCGCGTTTTCACAACTGCGATTCGGACTCGTTTTGTTTGGTGAGCGATTGGAAGACGACTGTGTGTGGGTACAAATTAAGATTACGAATTAACATTTTTTTCGTTGTTCAGTGGTTTCATCGAGTTGTGGTAAGGTGCACACTGTTCATACCTTCTTACTATTTTTAAACTCATTTTAGTGTTTTTCCCCAGTCTTATTTTATGACTTCTCTGTTGCTTTTAGGTATACTTATTTTTGCTATTTACATATTTATTTATTTTTAGTAGTATTTAGGGGTGTGAGGCAGGACACACACGTTTTTTCTTGACTAATTGTTGACAAAATATTTGAATTATTTGAATCTTTACTCTCTTAAATCAGCGGTTTAAAAAACTGAGGAGAGAAATTGAAATAGGTATGGGCTGTATCCAAAAAATGCAAAAATTTGCTGCATTTTTTTTCCCATTATCTTACTTTTTTTTTATGGTTGTTTTTTTTTTTCGCTTCGATTTTGATGCTGTTGCTCTGGTTTGAATAACTTCTATATTGGTGAAATTTGTGTACATTAAGGGTCTGTTCACTGAAGTTGTTAGCGTTGACAAATGAACAGTGTTACCGCCACTAGTTGCTTTGGTTTCTTTCAGTCCTTTTTATTCCTGTTTTTGTGTACGTCGAACTGCTGTGAAGCGTTTTATAAATTATCCGTCTTTTCGTTGTCGGCCGGCTTAAATGGGTTCATTTTAAGAAGTCACTTGCATTTATTAGCTAACTTTTGCAAACTTATTACTGACATAAACCGTCAATAATCTGGAAGAAATCGAAGACTAAAAGCTGAAAATGTCGGCAATGACTCCATCCTCACCGATACCAATTCCATGCACCCGCTGCTACGGACTCTCTCCATCATTTGGGTTGGTAAATAAATTGTTACTTGTACAGTATTTTATTTTATCGTTGTTACATCAACGACAAAAGGAAGGAGGCAGAAAAAGTGAACTG